AGGGGAGACAAGTTTGAAAGGGCATACAGCCTGACCAAACTCGCACAAGCACACATAGACACATAGGCACAGACACACTGGCACAGATAGACACACACACGCACACATCAGCATCCTGGGTTGATCATGAGGACGGACTCAGCATCATGCGGAATGCCGTAGATGAGGCCGTTCTTCTGGGCGAGGACGCCATCATACCATTTGTTGTCGCCGCCAAGATGAGTGAGGGTTGTTGTGTCGGTGGCGTTGGTGGCTGGATCGAAGATGAGAACTGATGAGGAGCCATGTGGGATGCCAATGATGTTACCGTTGCGTGCAAGCACGCCACCCACCCACCTTGCGGAGGTAGCTGTATCTGCAACAACGAGCTCGTCGGTAGCGTTCGTGGCTGGATTGATGACGAGTATCGTTGCAGAGTAGGCTGGAATGGTGTAGATGAGGCCATTGCCTGCCAGCACTCCACCATACCACTTGTTGTTCGTGCCAAGGCCATTGATAGTAGTGAGGTCCATCGTCAGGGACTCTGGGTTGATGATGAGGACATTTGCTGCCGCACGTGGCGTGCAGTAGATGAGGCCGTTGTCTGCTTGCGCACCGCCGTACCATTTGTGCATTTGGCTCGACAGCCCAGACAATGTGGTGATGTCGGCTGTGTTGGTGTCGGGATCGATGATCAGCACAGAAGTGGCAAAGTACGGGATGCCGAAGATAAAGCCGTCGCTGGCCACCACGCCACTAATCCACTTGTGGCTGCCAGAACCAAGCGAGTGGATGCTTGATGTGTCCGCGGCGTTGGTGTCTGGGTCGATGATGAGCATTGACTGTCTTGTTGATGCAAACATATAAATGAGGCCGCTGTGAGCCAGGACAGCACCGGCCCATTTGTCTGTGCCCGTTCCAAGTCCGGAGATTGCGGTCGTATCGACAATGTTCGTGTTCGGGTCTATGATGAGCACAGAGGGCGAGTTTCGAGGTGCGGCGTAGATCAGGCCGTTGTTGGCCAATACACCTCCAATCCATTTTCCACCTTGAGAGCCAACTTGCTCAAACGTCCTAGCTCGTCTTTTAAGTTGGCAGAGGTCGGCGTTGATGCTCTGCTGCGCTGACACAGCGCTCTGCACTGAAGTGATGGTGCTCTGCTGCGCTGACACAGCGCTCGACAGCGAATTGATAGTGCTCTGCTGGGCATTGGTTGTGCTCTGCTGGGCCGACGTGGTGCTCTGCTGGGCATCGATGGTGCTCTGCTGCGCTGACACGGTGCTAAATAGCGAATTGATAGTGCTCTGCTGGGCATTGGTTGTGCTCTGCTGGGCCGACGTGGTGCTCTGCTGGGCATCGATGGTGCTCTGCTGCGCTGACACGGTGCTAAATAGCGAATTGATAGTGCTCTGCTGGGCATTGGTTGTGCTCTGCTGGGCCGACGTGGTGCTCTGCAGCGTGTCCACCGTTTCAAACAAGGTGCCCGTTGTCTCGAACAGCCCATTGACATTCGCGCCATTCACGAACACAGGCTGGCTCATGGGGTCGCTGGTGTTAATGTGGAACGCCCCCACTTCATCCTCCTCAAGCGTCACCTCTCCAAGGCAGATGAACGGCATCGCCAACAACACGGGAAGCAGTAGCACATGTGCCTGCAGGCACCCAGTCCTCATCATCAGCGCCTTCTCCCTCCTTCTCGCTTCCTTCTTGTCGTTTGTCCTGAGGACAGATGGGTGGTCGTCTTCTTCAATCCGCTTGAGAAGAAAGGGACCAAAATCATCACAGAATGATTATGATGTGTTGTGTTGTGGTTTTTGCTGTTTCGTGTGCCTTTTCGTGAGGGTGAGTGCTTGAGTGTGCACGCCAGCAGGCCAGCTGCACACAGCATGGACGCTCAGGTTCCCAGCGACGGTAGCAATGTCGTCCACCTCTAAGGGTGTGCCTGACGTTACTTCCAATACATCAACTCGCACCCATTCCAGGCGAGAGAAACTATGTCACCATGAATGGGTCCAGCGAAGGAGTGCGAGCACGTGTTGTTCTGTCACTCGACTCCACGATACACAAACACACAAGCGAGGGATTGAGGGAAATATAATGGCAGGAAGGCAGGAAGTGGACGCGAGGCTGCCATTGCCAACAAGCGAAGTACAGGGCTAGGGCTCCACGTCGACTGTCGGTGTCTCGTGCACAGAACGTTGTAGCTGGTTCTGAAGCAAGCGCACAAGAATCATTTTCAAGCCAATTGAAGTCGAAGCACGACGGCGGCGACGAGCAGCAGCAGTGGCTGCATTTGTTCCTCGTGGCGTAAATGTCGTCCATGTCATGATGGTCACGCGTGAAGGGCTCGTGCCCACGACGGTCGCTGACTCCTTCCTGCGGCATGCCAGCCCAGCCACGCTGTGCGTCTTGGTTGCGACCAAAAGCCATACTCACTCAGTACTTGCCCCTGCAGTGTTGCACCACGTGCGCAACAGTCTCCGGCGACGACACGGCCAGGAGCACGTGCTCCATGTAGTTGTGCAGCATCAGCGTGCGTGCATCCACATGCATGCTGCCAATTTCTCTTCCAATTGCTTCCCCGCGCTGTGACGACGAGTTTCGGTGACATGAAGGCATGAGCGATGGCAACACAGCCCTGATGTGAGCGACGGTGCATGCGCAGTGTGGGCTCGTATGAAACAGACGCAAAGCGGAACGCAGTCGCAGCAGTCAGTCAAGACACAACAACAACAACAACAACAACAACTTAAACAACAACAACAACAACAACACCACTACCACCACCACCACCACCACCTCGAGTAGCCGCTCAGTGTCGACGGCTTGGTTCAATTCCTGGCTATTGCACAGCCCTCGAATGCGCTCAATCTGCATAGAAATGAGCGCATGCACACGTGTTCAGGAGCATCAGGATTTGCGTTTGTGCATGTCACAGTGGCCATGCGAACACCAAGAGCGCCGACACACACACACACACAGACAGACAGACACACACAACCCTCACGTCCTGTTGTGGTGCGAGCTTGAGTGAATTTGAGGCGAGCAGGTGGTGATATCTTTGGGTGTACACGGCTTCACCACAGCTGCGTCCCTGTGCACGCATACACACAGCGTGGAGGAACAACAGCGCAGAGTGCAGCAGCTGTGCCCGACTCCACGTCGCCTCCAACGGCACCTGTCCACGCACGTACAGAAACACACGTGAACACCAAACTGATACATCAACACGCGCACAGACAGACACACAGACGCGCAACACACACATTTACACACATTTACACACATTTGCACATTTGCACACATTTACACACAAACTTTTACACTCACACACGTTTACACACTCACTCACACAGACACACAGACAGACACACACACACACACACACACAATCGACTGCATAAGCCACACCGGCTTACCGGCTGCTGGTAGATGGCGTGAATGTCAACGTACTCCGGCGCATCCGTCCACACGTTGAAGGAAATGGAGTCCGACAAGGTCGTCACACTGCCGCCACACACCCACAAGCACACATATGAAACACAGTGCAAGGAAGGGACTACGCCGTGTCCGTTGGTCACCGACAGCACTCTCGTATCGAGGAACAAACACACACCCATGCACATGCACAAACACACACACATGCACGCAGCACAAACACACATGCACGCAGCACAAACACACATGCACGCAGCACAAACACACATGCGCAGCTTACTGGTGAAACCACATGGGCGGCACGACGAGCACATCTCCGGGAACAACGTCTGCGACAAACACGTTGAGTCCCTCGTGTTGGGAGAGATCAGCGTCGTTAAGGATGTCCACTGCAAGATGGCCAATGTGTGGGTGCAGGCAAGGGTAGAGTGGCAGTGACGTGTTGGGTGGGAAGAGGGTGAAGCGCTTGCAGCCTTTGATCTGCACGAAGAAGTTCCAGCTCGCATCGTAGTGGGTGTGGGTGACGATGCCTGCGTTGCCTAGCCACAGGTTGGCCTGCTCGCCCGTGTCGGCGATGGCGAGGGGCCCCAGAGGCGCTTCCGTGTCCATCTCGGGCCAGAACTCGCGCAAAAGCTGCGTGCGTGCTGAGAAGTAGAGCCAGCGTTCGCGGGTTGGCACAGCGCACGCGTGTCGCAGCCATGGCTGCCTCGCGTAAGGGACACATGCCATTGTGTCGTCCTTGAAGAGGGCGGCTGTGGAGGCGTTGCGCTTGACGTTGAAGTCATGCCACTGCGCGTCACGCAGCACGGGTTCCAGCGGCTTGTTGTCGTGGAACGTGATGAAGGTGTTGTGTGGATGCGCTTGCTCATACACGGGGACGACAGGCAAGCGGCTGGCGATGTGCGACAGGTTCCACCGCATGGCTGGCCAGTTGTGCGCCTGCACCACACTTGCGTTTCTCAGCAGCACAGGCACCCTGAGCTCCGCAAGCGTTCTGAACTCCTCGCGTGATCTTGGCTCCGCAAACGACTCACCATCGCACACCCTTGGCTCCACTGCCACCATGTGCACATACGGCCGCTGTGTCGTCAACCAGACAAACCATGCCACAACGAGGAGCACCACAAGCCCCACACCACATCGTCGCATGCCTCCTGCTGGTTGTTGGTTGTCGTGTGTCTGCGTTGTTTGAATTTCGCTGCTGCTTCTTCGCAACCGCAAACACAAACAAGAAGAGGCTGCACCGACGGTTATCGAGTGCACAAGCAGAACGCCAAGGTGATGGACTTTGGGGACAACCCGCCGCCTGCAGACGATGGCGGGCTGGACATGGGGGTTGACCTTGATCTTGAGTTCGACTCCCCGCTTCTCTCGGGGCAATCGGCTGCCACGAAGCAGCAACAGCAGCAGCAGCAGCCAGAGCAGTGGCCAGCAGGGGGCAACGGGGGCGGCGATGACCAAGAGGCGATGACAATGGAAGGCAATGATGCGCTGGATGCGCTTGGCTGTCGTGCCACGCCTGCTTCCACGACGTCCACTCCGTTTGACACCATGTCCATGGCATCGCTCGGGAGCCTGGCGACAGAAGCCAATGCCTCCAGCATGGCGGCGGAAAAGCGGCTGCGCCACCTCAGCAAGAAGAACCGCGAGCTGACCGCGTCCTTCAACGCCGAGAAGGCCAGAAACACACAGCTCACAAAGAAGGTGCTTCAAAAGGAGATTGGTGTGTGTGTGTGTGTGTGTGTGTGTGTGTGTGTGTGTGTGTGTGTGTGTGTGTGTGTGTGTGTGTGTGTGTGTGTGCTTTCGTTTGCTCTTGTGCGCATTTGTGTGGATACGGTGTGCTGTTGCACACAACAAGCGCGCATTCGTCTTCTCTCAAACACCACCAATTCCTGCATCTCTTCAGGGGAAGATGTGCCTGTGAGTCGCATCTTGCAGGGTGATAGCAACTGGCAAGGTCGCGCGCAGCAGATCTCTCTTCTCAAGGCGAAGGTACACATGGATGTGATGTGTGCGTGTGTGTGTTTGTTTGTTTGTGTGTGTGTGTGCGTGTGCGTTCGTACACGTATGCATGCGCGCTCGCACGCGTGTGTATGTGTGTGTGTGCGTGTGTCAACTCAGGAACAAGTGTTGCCCTCGCTCGTGCCATGACTCCGCTGTCTGTGGCAGGTGCACGAGCTGCAGTCACAAGTGAAAGGCTCGTCCTCTCGGTCCACCAGCTCTCTCAGCAGTACGCGTTCACACAGGTCCGTCACCTGTAAGCAACCATAAGGCCGTGCGCACACGAACATGAAATGCGTGCTCACACGTGTACGTGTGTGTGCACGTGTATGTATGTGCGTGTGTGCGTTAACGTGTGTGTGTGTGTGTGTGTGTGTGTGACAAGGCTCTGTGTGCGCCTTTCTGTTAGCTCATCACTCCCTTGCATTCTTCATTCACATGGCTTCTTAACCACCGCGCCATTCGCTTGCTCATCACTTCTGTTAGGAGCGATGGTGGTGTGGCAGACAGGGGACGTCTCGCCATCCAGAGAATCGAGGAGAAGAAGAAGGCCGACGTTGATGCGGTGATTTGTGTGTGTGTGTGTGTGTGTGTGTGTGTGTGTCTGTGTGTGTGTGTGCGTGCGTGCGTGCGTGTGCTCGTGCGCTTGTACATGTGTGCGCGCGTGTGAGCCTGGTGTGTGTGCGTGTGTGTGCGTGTGCTTGTGTGCACGTGTGTCTTGTCCACAACCTCTTTGCAGACTGAACCCGCTCCGTGACAAGTCATGTGTTTCTCACGCGCCGCTCGTGTTCCACGTGCGCGCGCGTCACGTACAGCTGACCACGCAATTGACCGAAGCCCAGGACAAGTTGAAGCAGATGAAAGAGAAGGTGCATGCGTTCGTGTAATGAACATGTTACTTTGAAGGGTACAACACAGCCCACGTGCACACGTGTGTGGTATGCACGTGCATACGCGCGTGTGATATGCATGTGCAGTATGAATGTGCTCAGGTTCACGTGGACTGGGTCACCCTAACACTTGTCTCCGACTGCACACGTGTCAGTACGATGCGGGCAAGGCACGTAACCGGATGCTGGCGCGAGAGGTTAAGGAGCTCAAGCAGCGGCTGGACACAAGCAAACAGGAGGCTCGCAATGCAAGGTGCACTGGCATCCTCTACCTGTTCACGTGTGTATGTGGTGCGTGTGTGCGTTTGCGGCGTGTGCGTTTGCGGCGTGTGTGTGTGTGCGTGTTTGTATGTGTACGTGTTTGCATGTGGTGTGTGCGTGTGCAGGTGTGCATATATGTACGCTTGTGTACGTGTGATGAATCTCACACTGATCCCCCTTATGTGCATCCACTTATCACCTTCGTTGCTCACGCTACACTACTGCCACCGCCACCGCCACCAGCAACCGCGCGTCTGAGCTTGAGGAGCAGGTCAAGTCCCTGGAGGACGAAATACAGCGCTCAAAGTTGAAACCGCGCGAGAAGCGGACGCGTCACGCGGCACAGGCAGACGCAATGTGCGTGCGGGTGTATGTATGTGTGTGTGCGAGTGCGCATGAGTGTGTGGTTGTTTGCGTGTGTGGTTGTTTGCGTGTGTGTGTGTGTTTGCGTGTGTTTGCGTGTGTGTGTGTGTTGCGTGTGTGTGTGTTTGCGTGTGTGTGTGTGTGTGTGTGTGTGTTCACCCGCTGCTTCCAGCGTGCCCTCCTTGTTGATTCACCACGGTTGCGTACAATGCTGTCCATCTCATCATCGCACAACACCACCCATTCGACCTCTCTCTCTCTCCTGCTTCTACGTCTTCACCACGCAGGGACACTGATGCCATGTTTGCCATGCAAGAGCTGACGCGCACATGCCAGGAACAAGCGCAAACCATCACATCTCTCCGCGAACAGCTTGCACAGTACGTTGTGCCTGCGTGTGTGTGTGTGTGTGAGTGATTGTGTGTGTGAGTGATTGTGTGTGTGTATATGTGTAAAGCACCTCATCGTGGTTGTGCATTGACGACACCACGACCATCACTATCATCACTGCCGCCACCACCACTATCACCTTTACCGCCACATCATGTGCTCATTACGTTCGCTGAACGCGCGTCTGTTTCACAGGAGAATAGCCCGTCCCTGCTCGAGCGCGCGCTCCTCCTCCGCCGGCGTGAGTCATTTATGGTCTGCACGTGGTGCACAATTGTCTTGAGGGCTGTTATTGTGACTGTTGTTGTGGCTGATGTTGCGGTTGTTACTGCCTCTGTGGCTGCTGTTCATGCAATTCTTTGTGCGACTCACGTCGCCCCACTGCAAAACTCACCACCCCTCGACACACACGCGCGCGCACGCACACACGCATGTACACCTCTACCCCCTTGCACACACACACACACACACACACACACACACACACACACACACACACACACACACACACACACACACGCACACACACACACACACACACACACACACACACACACACAACACATCCGGCAGCGTCAGCCGACGATGATGGAGCACGTGCGTGCGTCGACGGCGTCGCGAAGTCGTTCGGCGGGACACGCGAGCGGCGCCGATCAGGGACACATGCGCGCACTGGAGGTGGAGCGCGACAAGTACAAGGAGCTGTGCGATGTGTTGACGAAGCAGCTCGGCCAACAGGTGCGACCGTGGCGGGGCCTGCGTCATCGGCATGTTTCCGAATGGAATTTGGGCGTGGTCTCTTGACGCACCGCACTCAATGGAACTGACACATGTCCTCATCCCGACACACACACACACACACACACACACACACACACACACACACACACACACACACACACACACACACACACACACACACACACACACACACCTGCCACTGCAGCGGCAGCCCGTGAATGTGGAGCCGTTGGGCGACGACGTGCACTCGTTATCTGAGTCAGCACTTTTACAGCTGGTGCAGGACAAGCACGAGGAGGCGGTGGCGCTGCAGCGGCGATATGACACACTGGCGCAGGAGCACAGGCAGCAGATGGCGGTGATGGCAAGCATGGTGGACAAGATGAAGCACATCTTCTCCGCCGCAGTCAAGAAGGTGTCATCCAACCCGGCGTAGCGTAGGTGTATCTGTGAAGTGTATGCCCCATGTGTGTGTATCTGCACTGTGTGCGCGCGTGCGTGTGAGTGTGTGTGTATCTGCGACGTGTGCGATTGCTTGCAGGCCTCCATTGACTGGTGTGTTGCTTTCGACTTTGTACATATGAGAGTTGATCAGGGAATATACAGCCACAAACCATATATGACAGCCGCGTAAGGCTGACTGGAAAGACACACACACACACACACACACACACACACGCACACACACACACACACACACACACACGACCAAGCAGAGTGGGCAATCAGATGAGCCCGAGGTGCTGCTGTAAGATGGGATCAAAGTTGTCTCCAAAGATGGCGCCGTCCTCGCTCGATTCCGTTCCGTCGCTGCCGCTCATGGCGTCGTGCAGTCCCGATCTGCTCAGGCAGGTGTTCATACACACATGAACACACACATGCATACACACGCGCGCACGAGTGAGGACGTGCTTTGAATGCCGTAAGGCACAATACATGCATGGCACCACAGCACCATCTTCCTTTCCCTTCTCCCCTGCCTCCCAACCCAACGGTGCTCAGTTACGCACGTTGGTGTCTCAGCATCGAGTGTTGACCAGTCCGTGTATGCGCTGACGGTGGATGGCCGCGAATCCCACATCTCATCATCGCCGCCATAGCCATCGCCCATCACGTACGCGTCGTAAAAGCCGTCTGCGTCGTCGTGGTCGCCTTTGCGGTGGCCGCGGTGGTGCTGTGGAGGGTGCTGGTGCCTGTATGCATGCGCTTCGTGCTGGGGTTGGGAGTATTTGCGTGGGGTGTGGCGGGCCAGCACGGCATCTCGCTCGTGTGCCGCGTGGCCTTGAAGTGCAACAAACCGTTCCTGAAGAAGAGAGGGGAGGTGGGGCAGAGTGGTGGCGTGTTAAAGTGGAGAGTCAAGCGGGAGCACGTGGGCGCCGGGGAATCGCATCAAACACTCAGCAGAGGGCGCGGAATGAAGACAAGAATAAGCCAATGTTACATCATCATCATCATCATCAACAACAACAACAACAACAACAACAACAACAACAACAACAACAACAACAACAACAACAACAACAACAACAACAACAACAACAACAACAACAACAACAACAACAACAACAACAACAACAACAACAACAACAACAACAACAACATCATCATCATCATCAACAGGACGTACCCGAAGTTCAGAGTCCAGCCGTCCGGGCACCGCAAACGCCACGTGGTGCCAGTTGTCCCGAGACGCTGTACAACACAACACAAGGGTGTAGTTATGAGATTCAGTGGTGGGAAGAACTACTTCTTGTGCACAAAATGCCTGCCTAGAAGCAAGCAAGTAAGAAAGCAAGCAAGCAAGCAAGCAAGCAAGCAAGCAAGCAAGCAAGCAAGCAAGCAATTACGCTCACTCTGTGCGGCCTCAACGAGTTGCTCGTCCTCCTCTGGCTGGAACGGATACAGCGAAGATGGCAACACTTGCGGATGATCCTGTTCGCAGCAGAGCACGTGCAAGCGAGCGGTGAGCAAGAAGCTGAAAGGAAAGGCGTGTCGAAGGTACTTACTTGCAGGAACCAGGGATGCAGCTCATGGATGTTTGACAGAACAACACTCGTGCACAGACACAGACACAGACACACGTACAGACAGACACAGACAGTCAGACAGACATACAGACAGACAGACAGACACATACAGACAGACAGACAGACAGACAGACAGACAGACAGACACACACACACACACACACACACACACACACACACACACACACACACACACCGGTGTCCGGAACCACAGGTGGTTCTCCTTTTCGTGTTTGACAGTTTGGAGTTGATATCCACTTGTCTCGTCGCTGTACACGTGCTCAAGCACTTCGCGATGCACAGCAACCTGGAATTGTACCATGCACACGTCGTTCCAATGCAATATTAGGCGCATGCATGCTTGCAGGCACGTAAAAAGCGTTATACGGCCAAAACAAGCACATGGACAACAAATACACTCATAGTCCACAATTCACCTTGTGCGCATTCATGTGTCACCTCACCTCAACCTGCGCGGTGTTCACGTAGGACTCCAGGCTTGATCTCGCCTGATCGTACGCGGTGGACAATTCTTCCAGTCTCGCCGCTTGCTCCTCCAACTGCTTTCGCTGCGACTCCACAGTTTGCTGCAGGTGATGATGTGAAACAACAGTGATGTGAATACCCGCAGTACAAAAATTATACTTTGTCGCGTTTCGCAACTACATTTTGCACAAGGTGACAGCAGAACATGCGCGGGGCACACACCCACACACCCACACATACAACACACACCCACACCCACACCCACACCCACACCCACACCCACACACACACACCCACACACCCACACCCACACCCACACCCACACCCACACCCACACACACACACACACACACACACACACACACACACACACACACACACACACACACACACACACACACACACTCACACACACACACACACACACACACACACACAGACACAGTCAGGTGTGGTATGTGACGCTTGTTGAATCCAAAGCCGTGTTTGTGACTGCGATACTAGACCGCGCGCTTTCTCAATTCTGCGTTCTGTTCCCCGCAGTGTCCGTGCCACATCGCGCAACCCGAAAGAACATTGTCTCGATGTACATACATACATGCAAGATGATGTACAGCTCGACTGAGACGCCATGCACACTACACAGCGTGTGCACACACAAGACAACATCTGGGCAGGGAA